GGGGGCGTCGTCTATCATGACTCCCTTCGGGGGGGCGTCCACCTCCTTCACCTCTGTGGCCGTGAGCAGCCCCTTCCCAGGAATCATCCCAGGTCATGTGAGGAGTTAAGAAGGTTTCAGAGGGAAGGGCACAGGGGATTTCAGGAAAAATATTTGGAATTTCCCTAAAAAATTCAAATAATTCACAAAACTTTGGGTCCCTTTGCCCTGTACGAAAAGGAAACGTATATCTGTTTTTATTCAAATACAAAATGAGTATACATATTTACTCAACTCATTTGCAATCCTAATACTTGGCCACCATTTCCCTCTGCCATTTCCTAAATTAAGAATAAACTCTGCTTATTATGCGCAGGACAATATGAGCAGCAGATGTTATGCAAATAGGAACTGTGAAATGAGTCAGCCCAAACAATCCAAGGCCAAAGAGAAACCCAAAATAAGTCAGTAATAAGAGAAGCATCACAGCAGGGTGGCCTTCCCCCGAGCCAGAGGAAACATTTACATCCAACCAATACAATGGTGTTTGTCATGTTCAAGGTTTTTATATTTATACAACAGTTTGCTTGGAATAACTTTAGTTTAGAAATGAATCTCTGTGACATTAAATGTTATCTCGGTGCAATTTCAGGTGGTTTTTACATTTTTATAATGTGGACTTCTTTGAAATCCCCTTCTCGAATCTTTAAAAAAAGGCCTTTGTTGATTTTCGCACACTGGTTTTACTTACAAACAGTTGTCTAATTTGTCTATTTGACTGATTTGATCTGGGTTAACCCTCAAATGTGTTTTTATCAGGGCCATTGATTTGGTGTTTTAAACTTTATTTCAATATTTATTAAAGTTTTTTTTTAAATTAGTTCCTTGTAAATAAATAGTGTTTAGTATTATTATCATCATGTTATTATAATATATTTCTTTTTCAATCATAATTATATCATAGATTGGATGGAACTCGCACACACTCGCACAAACCAACGCATACTACATTGACAGACTCACGCACTCACACACACACACACACACACACACACACACACACACACACACACACTCCCTGGCTCCTCTGAAGGAGGATAATCTTCTGGCCTGAGGGTTTTCTGGTGATCTAATCCATGCCCGTTCAATTTCCTCCTCCAGATGAATATATGAGAGTCCTGTCGTCTCTGTGCACTCTGTGTCTGCAGACCTCAGACCAATCAACTGTTTTGATTACATGGAGGAGATTAAGTGACATCCGTTTGATTCACTGACTACACGTGACACCACAGAGTTTGGAAATGTGGAGGGAATGTCCTGTTGCTGCTCGTGTATTTAATAAAAGAATTAAATTGAATAGAGCTAGTTTGTATTTTGGGCCAGGCCCTTGAGTTGCAGGAAGGTGTTTCTTTCATACAGTCTTGAACATTATTACCATAATACAGTATTAATATTGGTAATATTAGCATAATTCAATGTGTTTGCTCACCTCAATGAGACCTTTAACCCAAGTAACAAAATAAGAAAATTCAAAATATTCTTTTTTATTTCAATATATGCTGTTAAATATGCACACCTCTCATGCTCGGTTTCTCTTGTTTTCAGGCGGTGTTACATTTTTCGTATCGCTGTACGACTATGAAGCGAGGACGACGGATGATCTGTCGTTTAAGAGAAGGGGATCGCTTCCAGATTATCAACAACACGTGAGTGTACAGAGGGCTCTGAACACTGTAAAACTCGTGTGTGTGTGTGTAATCCCTTATTGTATTAAGGTCTGTTGTTAAGGCATTCTGGGTTAATGGTTTCCTTTTTAATGGGCCATCTGTTTAGTCCAGATTGCTTTCCCTCTGCTGTAGATCATTCCTTTAGTTTAGGGTTTTACATTTAGGTGTAAAAAGTGTAACAGTGTAAAACATACCACTCTTTTATCATTTAGTAAAATACAAGCTATAGGCAAAAAAAAAAATCATTTATTACGAAATTTAACTGAATATGTATTAAAGACACCAACAGTGCACTGAAACTCATTAGATTGTCATGCTCTCTTCAATATGGCTCTTTAAAAGTATATTGTACATTTCAGTTATTGCAAGACTCAAATCCTTAACTTTGCTTTTGTTAGTTTTTGGCATTTCTATTGCAAATAGATATTTGTTATCCAAAATGCAATAGTCCTATAATTTCTAGAACAAAACTAAAGGAAATATACAACAAATAATGATGAAAAAAATGAATAATTTCCTACTAATTTCTTCTGTCCTATTGTATCAGCATCATCTTTCTCCCAGGTGTGCACAGGTGTGAAAGCAGGCAGAGCTCCAAGTTCTCCACTAATTCATCCCTCAGTCGTCCAGCCGCTGTCCATGGACATTCTGCTTTAGCAGTAATGAAAGGCCATCTGCTTTCAGAGAAGAAATAGGAAGAGTTTTACCAAGAGAACAGATTTTTCCTTCACCTCAATATTTCCCATTGGCATAAAGTTTCTGATTGTTCGAAACGGAGGATACGTATAGACAAATCTTACATTCAAACCAAAAATTGAAAGCCTTTCAAAATGCCAAACTATATGTAAAGAAGGAAGCAACATGCGTGGCATTGATTCAACTGTATTATATTATATTGGGAATTGTATATTATTTCATCAGGATGTCAATTCAGGGTGGGCATTACTGCAGAAAAATTACTTATTAGTGTTAAAAGAATGTAACAGATGAGTCAGTATTACTTAAACTTAAGTAGAGGTTTTGAATGCACGGAAATGTCACTTTTTCCTTTAAAACCTAAACGGAAAAGTTTTTCAATTATAATCTTGTTACCTACGTACTGTTACTACTCTCTTCCTCCTCCTCTGCTTTGATGAGGCCTAGATAAACGAAACTGTGATTCCTGACCGTGTTGTTGACGAGCAGAATGAGACCTTGTGTTCCACCTACCTGTTTTACAGTAGGTGTATTTTTCCAGTCATGCTTTTTGTGTGTTTTTTAATTTCTAATGAACTTCTCCTCTCAGGGAAGGCGACTGGTGGGAGGCTCGCTCCATCAACACGGGGCAGAAAGGTTACATCCCGAGTAACTACGTGGCTCCAGCCGACTCCATACAGGCTGAAGAGTGAGAGCGTATTACCTATCTCTATCTCCGTCATCCTCCAATTTGAAATGAGCTTTTTCTTTCACTCTTCTCCTTCACATTCCTGTACTGTTTCTCACCCTGCTCGGTTATTTCTCTGATTAAGAAGACATGATGCGGCTGGGCGCTCACACATTGTGACTCAGCCGTCATGTACTGACAGTGTAAACAATGGAGGCCTGTGTAGTGGCTGAGAGTCGCTGGCATTCCCATTGCTGTTCATCCGGTTGTGACAGAACGAGTGCTTCAGACAGCTCTGCCCTGGTTTCTCATTGGCTGTCAGCCATTTGACTAATACAAGATGTTTAAGCTTCTCATAAAACCCTGGTGGAAACCAGCCCAAAACGTTGGCTTTAATCTTAAAGATTGAGTGCAAGTCATCAACAGAGGTTATGAGTTTTAATTCCTTCTTCCTTTAGTGTTGAGAAATGTTTTCAATTCAACATGACTGTACTTGTATCTCTTAAAAACGATCACTACTCGGAAACAAACGAGAAAAGCTAGTTATTAACATTCTTTACAGACATTATCTAATGTTTTATTTATTTATAATAGCCCCTTACATATAATGGATCAGGCTAAAAAGGTGTAAAGTTAAAAAGCTGTAATTATAGTAATGTGATCTCCATTATGTTGTCTTAAATGAGATTTTAAGGTGTTTTATTGCCTATTATTTTATTGCCTCTGATTTGAAGGTAACCACATATGAACCACATAAAAACTGCTGGTATTGTAAATGAATGTTATGTAAAACTTACTAACAATATATTATGTTCTGTCCAGCTTTAATATTTGACTTGACAATTTTATAGACCGGGTGTTTAGGATTCATATAAGCCCAGAGAGTTTCCATCTTAATCAGTGCTCTTATTACCCGAACAGAGAACATCCTACTTGTTATGCAGTTTATAGCATGTGGAGCTCCTCCTGTCTGACTCTCGCTCTCTTTCTGCAGATGGTACTTTGGTAAAATGGGCCGCAAAGACGCCGAGCGCCTCTTATTGCATCCAGGGAACCAGCGGGGAACTTTCTTGGCACGAGAGAGTGAGACGACCAAAGGTAAGAGGATTTATTTCATGAAAGCCAGACTGTAATGAAAACGCTGCAGTTTTGATATTAAAGGCAATGATGAAAGCCTTTCCTTATTTGTGCTTGTGGCCTCCGTTTTATTGCGGCCATATGTTCATTATATGGGAGTTCTTCTTATTTGAATGTCGGTTAGAAGTTAAAATGTGTTTTTTATGTTTATCAGATGTTCTGTGAGATGAAAGCCTGTGATGCAGATTCAAGAGTTTCTGCTGCTCAATCTAACTTACTTCCTGTGGATCCTAAAGGTGCCTACTCTCTCTCTCTCCGGGACTGGGACGAGGTGAAGGGCGACAACGTCAAACACTACAAGATACGAAAGCTGGACAACGGAGGTTATTACATCACCACTCGGGCCCAGTTTGAGAATCTGCAGAAGCTGGTGAAACACTACACAGGTATGCAGCACATTCATCTTATTCTCATGTGGGAAGCACTTAGACAAACTTGTTATTTACAACTGGACAGCTGCTCTTACTAAAAGTTGTTTTTCCTTCAATGTTCAAAGGTTTTATTGTCCTATGCACAAAAGCAGTAGTAGTGTAGTTGTTGGCGATGAACATCTTAAGTCCTGGGCCAAGCTAACAGTGCGGCATATAGGAAGTCAAATAGGAAGTCAAATAGTGCAAGAGATACAATGGTGCACTTTAAATGCAGAAATAAGTCGGCTATTCTCTGAGTGTTTTATGTGAGAAAATAAGCCAATGTTTTATCAGTTATACGTTTTGTGTCTTTGAAATAAAAGTATTTTATCCAATGAATGCAGCTCTTGCAGGAGAACATGCATTATTCAGCTGCACATCTGCTGAAATACATTCTGAGTTTGTCTTACAAACTCTTTTCCTCCTGTGGTGATTTTTTAAAGCAGTGTCTTCACTGATCCGGTCACAGCTCAGAAATCACGTCAAAGTCCCCAAACAGCAAACCATGTAAGGCTCAACCCGAAAGAGGCATGAATATAAAATGTCTCGTACAAATAAAACAGACTTAAGCCTGCTGTAATCTTCACATTTTGGAAGGCAGGCAGCTGTTCTGGAGAAGATACCCAGCAGATTGTCAGAAGAAAGCGTCTGGATGATGAAAACACACACAGGACAAACTGTTTATGAAGAACACAGTTACACTCACAGAGGCAGTATCCACAAACAAGAGGATGTTTGTTTTACAGCTCCTTAACATTTCATTTAGGTCTTGTGTTGTTGACGCTGCTTGCTTCCACACGATTCATGTAATTTACTCCCGGCAGTGCGCCTTATAATTGACTCTTTGTATTCCTCTAAGTGCAGGCTTTTACACTCGTGACATGAGTCAACAACACCTGAGAACATCTTACCTGTTCAGTAGCTTAAATATAACAGGCTGCTGCTCGCTGTGTCTCCCTTTACTGTGTGCAGAATGACAATCATGCATTTCATGAGATGGTTTGAATGGCCTCTTTCAGCTGCTTTAGGCCCTACACTTTTACTACAATCCTTTACTACTGAAATTGAAACTTTATTGAGTTCAACACATTGAACTCGTTTTTTCTGAGGAATGACGGGTCAAGAGTTTAGTGCGTTTATTGGATTTTAGTTTGTTGGTGTCAAGTGGCAATGTATTGTTTTATTCATCACGTGTTCACACTCCATTTACGTGCAGCATAACTCCCGTTGCGGCTACGGTTTTGTTCTTAACTCGACACAGTTATGTTGTGTTTGTTACCAGGCTGGAGGCTGATAATTCAAACATAAAGCTCATTCTTTTCTTTCTGTCTTCACATGTCTGTTCCTGTCCAGAACATTCGGACGGTCTGTGCTACAGGCTGACGACCGTGTGCCCCACGGTGAAGCCTCAGACTCAGGGACTAGCTAAGGATGCTTGGGAAATCCCACGAGATTCTCTCCGGCTGGAGCTCAAACTCGGCCAGGGCTGCTTTGGAGAAGTCTGGATGGGTAAGAGACCATTAATGCTGTTACTGTTTAAAACACACACGCATGGACTTTGGCTTGTGAAGATGTTAATGGTTTAACCGTAAGGCAAACAAATTGACTCCCAACAAATGTGGTATTTCTTGAGTATTTTTAGTACCAGAAAGCAGTACTGTGAAATACATTTTGCACAGGCTGCAACTGGAAATAATTGGTGCTGGGCGTTTGGGGTTATAGTAAATACTTGTGCTCTTTGAACCTAGCTGGAAGGTTTGAACACAAGAGATAACACACAGGCTATGTAACATTTACTCCTCTGTTACGGCTGACTGCAATGCATCTTTGATTACTTTCATCATATATTAATCAGCAGATTAGTTCCTTATTAAGAATTGATTTGGTTCATTTAAAGGTGGGGTAGGTAATTTTGGAGAAACCAGCTCGAGTGCGCTAGAATTTGAAAATACACAGCCGGAAAAAATCTGCCACTTCCTTACAGAGCCCCTCCTCCAACACACACGAACGCGCACATGACCAATGAGGGCACGAGATAAGTTTGTGCACAGATGGAAGGCTGACAGGCAGGTAGGCCATCCAGTTATTTTAGCCGGGCCGGCTAAATGATTGGTCATGCTTTTTACAGTACTACGGCTTCCACAGATGACACTTTTTTATGGATTTTTTGTCAAAGCACTTCAGATATTCATTGCTATCGGGATGTTAAGAGCATTCCATGGAATATAACAAAAAGTGTATCTCGAGCCGGTTTCTCAAACTTACCTACCCCACCTTTAATGCCAGAAAATATTGAACAACACCTTTTACAATTTCAAAAGCCAAAGTTGCCATGTTAGTAACATTTGATTATCTGGACACCAATGAAACAACAATGGTATTCAGTTCAACACCATAGAAGAAAAAGTAAACCAGCAAATATTTTCATTTGAGACGCTGGAGCCATTATTTAATTGAAATGGTCTGCATTCAGTCCAACATGTTGATGATAACACACTATGTTATAGACCTTTAAAGGGTTTCCGTTGGAGTCTCTCTGTTAATTCCACAGAAATGCTGGAGCAAAAGCTGTATGACGCGAATGCAGGTTGGATTTGTGTGAAATTGGTCAGCTGATGTTAGAGTATGGAAAGCCTGACGTATCACACACTGGGATGCATCCACCACTTTCCTATGTCAGCGCCACAGATACACATGAATACACACTGTAATATTTATGTTTGACGCTCACACTGATGATGAATTATTAAATAATATAAACAACTGCATGGGCCTCCACTCACACGGCCATTAGGGTTTACATACAGATACAAAGCATCCGCTGTACATTATTTATAACTGATGTCAATTTAATGTGTAACAACTCGGAGGCAGTAAATGCACACAAACTGAGTTTATAGATTTGCGTTAGTTTCAAGTTGAGACTGACCTCTGTAAAAAGCTTGTCTTGATGCCTCGCTGGCCCACATACTGATGTAAACGCTGACTACTGTTGAGCTACACACACACGCGCGCACACACACACACATATAGCTCAGTAATTACAGGTCACTTCCTACGCTTCAGTTCTCCGGCCTGCATGTGAGACGGGGCTTTCAGGGAACGCGAGTCTCTTTCAGCTCTAACTCTTTCATTAAGCGTGGCCTGCAGCAAGCCTCGACCTGCGAGCCTCCGCTGAGCAATCCCAGGAATCCCTCTGTCCCTCTGCTATCTGTTATCATGGTTTTACACTCAGCTACAACAGATGTTTAAATGTACAAAAAATGTTAAAAAAAAAATACTTAAATACAAAGAATAATATAAATCAATGTGGATGGCAAACTCTTAAAAAAAAATATATAAAAAAAAACTACAAAAATGTAATTTAATTATAAAGGAAATGTGATTGTGAAATGCGTGTGTGTGGTATGCGAGTGTGTGCCTGTGTTTGAGGAGGGACTATTACTCTATTGACATTGACTCCTAAGACATAGTCATGTTTAATGTCACTGAGTGAAACAAAACCAATAAGGTAAAACAACATGGATACACTTTACTGAAATCCAAAGGGAGAAGCAGCTACTACAACTCCTGTTTGTTCCACATTGAGTTTTTATATGATGCCTTGTGCTGGGTGACCTCCATTGTTCGCCTATGTGCTCGCCACCATATATTATTATTAGATATTATCATTGCCCTACTTTGTCCTCCAGCGTGTGTGTGAAGTTTGTTCAGTGTGATTCATTCATGAAGGTCAGCGCTGTGACGGAAGCAGCCGATCTCCTGCCTCAGCTCATTGTATGCAAACAGGGCGTGAGTAAGTGGCTCTGCAGCAGGAAGTGGCTGATTGTTTTAGCCGTGGAGTGAGAGCAGCTCCTCTCACACGGGAGCGCTGCCAAAGAGATTACTGTCATGACGGCGGATTTTTTAGGACCGACTTTTCAATCACTTAAAAGGGGTCGAAAAGTATTTAATGGATCCTCTGTGTTTTAGAGTTACGGTGTGTGTCACTTGATAAATTGGACATGCCTTAGAGGAATTATTTCATCAAGAATGTCAAGGTGTTTCGGAGCAAGTACACAAATTGTTACAAGTGTTTGTTCACCACTGTTAAGTCAAAACTGCTCCACCAAATGAAAATCTCGATTTGAATATCAACCCTTTGCTAAACTCCAAGAATGAAACATAATTACTTATTGCCATCAATTCAGAGATACGGGGTCCGACTATTTAATGAGGTTTGACTAAAGCACTCTTTTGTGCACCATTCAATCTTGAAATTAAGTAAGGAGATAAATACCGTATTAAGGATACCCTACGTCCACACGGTTCCGTCGCGTTGAAGCTTGCCGGTGGGCATGTCTGGCGCGCGACCAACAACCAATCACATTAATCTCCCGCCCCGGATAAACAAGCAAGCAGGTGATTGGCTAGAGCTTGTACTGGCATATGATTTGATTGGCTAGAGCTTGTACTGGCATATGATTTGATTGGCTGGCGCTTCCGTCGACACTTGAAAAGTTGAACTTTTCTCAACTTTCGAAGCGAGCAACGGAGGCCAAGCGACGCGACGGAACCACAATGCAGTTCGGCAAAGCTTGACGTCACCCCATTCACAGTGAATGGGAAGCGTCTCCGTTGAAGCACGCAACCGAACCGTGTGGACGTACCGCAAAGGGTCTTCAACATATTGTGATTAAATGTAGTGTTACATTTATGTTCCCTTGTTGTTCCGTCTTCATATTTGTCCTTGTTGATGTTGGAAATGGAGCTGCGATGTGTGCATGACTTGAACTGACAATAAATGATCGTACTTTGAAATATAACATTGTTTTATGGTTCATTTCAAACCTGAGTGATCCTTTTGTTTTGTTTTGTTTTATTCAGGCACATGGAACGGCACTACTAAGGTTGCCATCAAGACCCTGAAGCCCGGCACCATGTCCCCAGAGGCCTTCCTGCAGGAGGCTCAGATCATGAAGAAACTCCGGCATGATAAACTGGTTCCTCTCTACGCCGTGGTGTCTGAGGAGCCCATCTACATAGTCACTGAATTCATGGCCAAAGGTACGAACTCAAAGAGCAGAAGTCAAGTATTGGCACAAACCACAGACATTGAGGATCATAACAGGACAAATCTGTACCGAGGGACATTAATGTAGCAATCATCTTTAACCTCTTATCCAGTCAAACACCATTATGTTTGACTGGATTGGAACCCTGAGTACGACTCTTATAATAAGTGCACTTAAACTTTATTAGTCTGTGAGAGCAATAAAGACCAACATAAAACTGAAGTTAATGCAGAAAGCCTCCATGATGTTTGAAGTCATGTTGCCTTCAATGTGTTTTTGGTTATTTGAGCGTTTTCTGACACTGAACTCTCTCAACTAATGCTGAATTAAGTGTTGTTTTTACACTAAGCCCAAACAGATATATTCACCATGCTTTGCTCTGAACTCTGGCAGGTAGTTTACTGGACTTCATGAAGGAGGGAGACGGTCGATATCTGAAGCTGCCGCAGCTGGTGGACATGGCTGCACAGGTACAATTTTAAAACAGTGTGTGAACAGAAACACAAACACAGAAAGTCCCTCTGCCTCCCACCTGCTGTTTTAACTCAGTGCGCGAGAGGAGCATTGTTCATGCATCAGCAACAAAACAAAGAGAGCTCCATGTGGGAAACTTCCCAGCCGTGTGTGTATGAGTCAAATATTCAGTCTCAGTTTGGTCTCCGTCTGGCTGTCATATTTATTTAATATCCTATCTGATATCTCTACCCTCCCCTCCCTCTCCCCCTTCACTGTGTTTGCCTCCCCTGGTTTTTCACCACTTAACTGCCACAGTAGCACTTAAGCAGCGCTCATCAGAGGCCACTTAAGCCGGCCGGTGCGCTAACCTACCGCGATCTGCTCTTAATTCGCCTCCGCACACTCCCAGGCTTCTTCCTCCTCACTCAGCAGCGGAGGGGAAAAGTGTTTGAGCGTTACACCGAGGCGGGTTAAAGATCCGGATAGTTGTGTTAAAGATTTGTCCAGTTGTTGTTGTTGTCGCAGCTGCATATAATCTCGTATTTAAATAACTAGTATTAGGGTTGAATGATAGGCCAATGACCCCGCTAATTGAGTATTATTATTGTAGTTTGTAACTGTAGATGGTTTCATTTGTAGTATCTTGGATTTGCAATGACTGTTTTTAAGTTTATTTAACTGTAATTTGACTAGGTGTTTCTGTTGCCCTATATGTTAATGTTTTTGTACAGCCCTTTGAATTGCCTTGTGTTGATACATGCTATATTAAAAAAACTTAATTATTGATCATTTTATTTTCATTTAAATTGATTCAAATCTCTTCCTTTGGTTGCATCCTGGTAAAACATGTATTTTCTGTCTCCTCCCCCCCCGTTTCTTTGCATGGTCCGCTCCCGTCTCAGATCGCAGACGGCATGGCCTTCATCGAGAGGATGAACTACATCCACAGAGACCTGAGAGCCGCCAACATCCTGGTGGCTGATAACTTGGTGTGTAAGATCGCCGACTTCGGCCTGGCTCGGCTCATCGAGGACAACGAGTACACCGCCAGACAAGGTCTGTATTAAGAACTGGCACATGTGTGTCTGCCTTTTCTAAGAACCACATCAGCTATAAATACATGAGAAAGTGATTCTGAACCCTTCAGGCCTTCTTTGGTGCTTCAATATAACCTTTGGTGTCACTTCAATACTGGTTAAACTAAAACTCTTTCAAGCATTCAGGAGTGCTTTTGGATCCCAAAACTCTGTTTGAATATGACATGTTTGGTGTTAATGTGAGAAGATATCAAGTAATTGCTTACATTTTATAGACCTTTTGACTGTTTAAACCAAAAGAGAATCGGCATATAAATACAAAAAATTACAATAATTAATTACACAAGCACATGCTGACACTTTCATTGTACATTCAGTATACCTGCATCACATATCACAATGTTTCACTAACTTAATGAATAATCAATTAGTGTTTTAACTGAAGATGAATGCCCCAAAGGTCAGATCAATCAATGATGAAAATATTGATTAATCCTTTTTGGTTTTTATTCTCTTTTTTCCCAGGTGCTAAGTTTCCCATCAAGTGGACGGCCCCTGAAGCCGCTCTGTACGGACGCTTCACCATCAAATCTGACGGCTGGTCGTTTGGTATACTACTGACTGAGCTGGTGACCAAGGGCAGAGTGCCGTACCCAGGTAACGATAAAGAAGCACAGATGAGGAGAAAACAGTTTTGATGTCTTTTTTTCCCTTTTCATTTTACATGAAGCTTCCTTTTCCTGCTGTTTTCTATATTCCTGGCTCCCTACGATCATGAATAGGTTGCACTTCCATGGGAAACAGGAATAATTCATTAACCTCGCCTCAGGATGATTCTGAAATTCAACTCATCCTCATCGTCCTATATTAATAGCCCTTTCCCACACATGTAGATGTTACATAATGCATAACTACGTATAGATGATATATGTCAACGTAGATGTGTAATGACTTGTAAGTTGCTCTCTCACATGATCTCCCTCTTCCTGTGGTGTGCAGCCTCATGTCTGCCCCCTGCTGGAGGACAGCAGTGCTGCAGTGTGTCTGTGGCACTGATTACAGAGCGTGCCATATGGCAGACTTAACCACCATCTCATGTAGAAGGCCATCTGGTTCCCAGGGCCCTCTTTGGTTTCAGAGCAACCCGTTTGGTCTAATTATTCGCCCCAGAGCTGCAGATTCAGGAGGCTGAACCCCTCTTTTCGCTTCTTAAAAGAAGAGTAGGACTCACGGGACATTTGTGGCTCTGTCCTGCTGAGCTGCAGACTTTCTAGGCATCTCTTTTTTTCTTTTTTCCCCCCAGTCTTTATTAATTTTATTCCACATTTACAAGCACACACAGAAAAAAGACAACTAAACAACCCCGAAAAACAATGACAAATAAAAGCATACATTACAACACTGTTCAATTCAGACACATGAGGACATAAACTGACGTGTCAGCACTCAAAGCAAAAAGTAAACAAGTACAAAATAAAATAAATAAATAAGAAGTCGTTATTTTCCCTCTCTTGGCATCTCTATTTCTGCTTTTTTGTTTTAAAGAAGCGATATGAGGCACGTATACCGAGATCACGCAGCAAGCCTGGGAACACATCATCTTTTTGTCTATTTTAGTCCTTCTTATATATAGATTCACACACACTCATTCAGATATTCAGACAGGCACGTTATTAGAGCTGAGGGCTTCAGATTTAAGACATAAATCACGCTAACACCTCAGCATCCGATGTGCCCGCGCTGCCATCGTACCCGGGTCCCAGCAGTCGCTCCGGGCCCTTCCTCTCCCCCAGAGTGTGAGATAATCTGATCCCCTCTCTCCCACAGAGAGACGCAGTGGGAGGATGTGGTTGGGACCATACCACTGTCTCTGAGTCACAACCTCTTTTAGCTGCTGTTCAGCTCCCCATGGAGCGGTTTCAGCGCCGTGTCACAGGGTTCAGGATCACTGTCTTCCTGTCTTAGGAAGATATCCACGTCTCTGGTGCTTTAGTAGTGCATGAAAAGCCAGAAGGAGAAGCAGCACTGTTAGTGGGAGTGGAAAAATCCTATAGGGGTTTATTTTAGCCAAATATGACTGGTCGGTTAGATTTTAGTAAATGTTTCTGCCCTGTATGGGTCCTTACAGGAAATACTGTTCCACCTAGGTTGTTTTTTCCTTCATCTTTCTCATTTCACACAGTGGATGGGCTTTTTTTTTTTAAAGCTGCCTGATGCCAACATTTGTCTCCTGCTTCAGGCGGTGGACTGGGTTGTTTCCTGATAAGATTTGCACAATTTTTCTTCACCAGAAAACTGGTCCACTTGTCATTCATTCTCTTAATGAACTCCCACTGACCCACAGAGGGAAGTCACATTAACATGATGATTGTTAACACTAATCCATGTAGCTGTTCATTTAAGTGGCATTGTATGAAATGTAATACCCATCATGTTCCTCTAAATCTCTGTCGTCAAATAATAGCTACAAAACTATAACTAATGTAAAAACCCTATTAGTTATGAAACAGTATGTATCAATATAAAATTACCTACATTTTTAGGAAACTGCTGAGCTAATTAATTTCTGTACACATGTTAAATATTACTTGAAAATGATGTTTAGTCCAGAGCCATGTTTTGTACCCAACTGTATTACATGATGAGTGATGCACACGGGAAAGTGTTGTGGTGTTAAAAACACTAGAAAAATGCTGTCCATTCACACTGCATTTGTTGTATTTCCTCTCCAGGTATGGTGAATCGAGAGGTTCTTGAGCAGGTGGAGCGAGGGTACCGCATGCCCTGCCCCCAGGGCTGCCCCGAGTCCCTCCACGAGATGATGAGGCACTGCTGGAAGAAGGAGCCGGATGAGAGACCAACCTTCGAATACATCCAGTCCTTTTTGGAAGACTACTTCACAGCCACAGAGCCACTGTACCAGCCCGGGGACAACCTTTAGTTCGGGGGAGATTTTTTGGGGGGTGAACTCTGGCTTCATACATCAGTGGAGAGCAAAGCCAGGTACAACACAGGACTTCAACATGGGAAAAAGCCTTGATGAGGCTGCAGAGAAAAGGTGTCAAAGCTACAAACTAGTCCACAGCCACCCTGGTTTATCTGCAGAAGCAAGAAGAAAATGTTCCCTGAAGTAGAGGGACGTCCTTTGGCTAATCGGGGACCAAATGTTTGGGGAAATGTCCAACTGTGCAGATTGGTGCTGGTACTTTAAGCTTTGGGAAGCCTGCTCATCAGAATAATCCACATGGACCGGCCACAACACTGTGATCAAACAGAGAGGGGCTGTCTTCTCATTTTAAATTGATGGCTACTTGCAGACGCACCATTTTTTTACTTTTTTAAATGCCCCCTCTCATCTAATTCAACCCCAATTTATTTTACACAGTTCTTTGATATTGAAGTCAAGATCTTTTGTATGTACATGAGTTTGGTTTTTAAATGCAGGTTGATGGGTTATGTTGTTGACCAACAACTATGGTTGAAATGTCAGTGTGTGCTGCGTCTGTGAAGCTGTGATGGAGAAGGTGCGAGGAGGAGGAGGACGAGGAGGAAATGGACTGGTTGTACTTTACGGATGAACGAATGTACGGAGAGATCAAAGCAGATGTACACACAGTACGTGCAAAGATGTATTTTCAGCAGGTGTGATCAGGTGGATGAGTGAGAACATGAGAAGGCCGTGTTTAGAAATCCTACAAATTATATTTAATACGGTCGCTTGAATGGCAAATCACATCGGATTTTAATATGCTTTTTTAATTGTTTTTTAATTTAAACGGGGACTTGAAATCATAAAGAGCTATTTTGATAATATTCATGTGCGATAACCTTTTTCCTGTTTAACATTTTATAAATGTTTTGAATATCAGCTGTGAAATTGAAGTATGTTTGAGTAGTTATCGGAAATAAGCATCTTGGTGCATATTTCTGATTGCTGTAAAAGAATCTTAACAAAGTTGCACACATCTACACAGTTTTAAAATCGCAGTTTTCCCATTTATTCCTGGTGAAGGATTATGTTAGATCTTTTCACACGATCATGTAAATCATACATGCTGCTGTAGTATTTCCTTTCTGTTCTTCTCAGTAAAATACCACCAAACTAAAACGTAACATGCCTTTACTGTAATGAATTCTCTGTCTGCTGGAGGGGATCCTTTCATCTAAATCCTAACACAATTGTAATTTGTAAATGCACATATGCAAAGTCAACCAGCCATGTGTTAAGGAACAACGGCTCTCGGATGGTATTTTTCCTCTCTAGCTCCCCTTTATGGTTTTCTTACTTCCCAGTTGTAGAGATGATGGATCACTTCTGGAGTGGAGTTATTAATACCAGACAAAACAAACACCGTGCACACACAGTGGTCAGGTCAGGGCTTTGGTGCTTTTATAAGTAATATAAAAGTCCAATAAAAAGTTACCTCCACTGTCGGCCCAGCGGTATGAGATGGGAAATCTTACTGTCATTCGATAAGTAATAATAAGGATCGGACAAAGATGTGAATTTTTTTTGTTTTTCTTTGTGTTTCACTCACAAGCTAATATGTGATTGTTCCTGAAAATGGAACTTGAACTGGTGGGGAGATGATAATGACATTACTGAGAATGGTAACTAATATGATTTTGTTCAGAAAAAATAAAGATTTTTCCTCAAAGGAGTCCTTTAGCCTTCTCTTGTTCTTTGCAAGCTACATCCAACCTCGTTCAGATCAGCCTGCGATGTCGAAGTTTGGATGTCCACGTCTTGAACAACTCGGCTCCAAGAAGCTCAATGTGACCTTTTATAAATCACTCAAGGCTCTTTTGGTATTGAATTGTATTTATGTACACCATTTTACAACAGGTTTGTAGTACATTATCTTAATTTTACATTCAATAAATAGGAATGATTGACATGGTTTGTATACAGGAGCACAAGCTAGTTCTACTTTTAATGAAAGTGCTGGTAGAAGTTTAGAAAAGGAGACTGTAGTTTACTCATCCTCATCGTACCTGTGAAGAAACAGAATTCATTGATGTCAGAATAGACCAAGTACTTAACTTTAGTTGAAGTTTGAGTACACTTTTGTCTAAATTCCAGTACCTATTTTGTTCATGTCTTTTAAAGAAAAGGTAAATCTACAGTAAAAGCAGCAGGTGATTGGTGATGGCTGTCATGGTGGTGTGATGGAGGTAAATCAAAGCTCTCACCTGACCATCTCCTTGTACTTGCTCAGAGCCTTCTGGGTCACATACTGGATGAAGGCGGGGTCCCTCAGCTTCAGCTCCCCAGGGACAGAGAAGATGATTGGGGGAGAGTTCAGGATGTTCACCTCCACCTTGGTCTCCGTCTCAGATTCATTCTGTTCATCCTGGGTGTTTGGTGCCACCTGCAGGATGGGAGAAGTCACACACCAACAATTATCCAATTGCATTCGGCCTATTGGATTTTGACTAAAAGGGTTTCCCCATAGTTGGTCAATGGTTTGTTTATTTGGCATTTCAGGGATTGTGTTTTGATGTTTAACGTGTCAAGGCTCCCAAGTTAGAGCAACTCATGAAACTTGTGAATGTTTTTTAGTAGATGATTATTTCCTGAAGACTTCCTCTCACTTTCCTAACCATACTGTAACCCCCGGTTACTAAGACACTGAGAAATAACATTGACTAAAATGTCAACTTTATTTTAATGCTTAGCACTACATACACAAATAATATAAATTATTTGAAACTAAAATAGAAACAATATAGATACACAATATGCAATTTAGGACAACATGATTTAGACAATTCTTCATGAAAACATTTAAATGAGTGTGATTAGATAAATCCCCTGTCCATCTAAAGTGGTTGTAAAGCAAGGCTAAGCCAATCAAAGTTTAGACCCGCCCCGTGTCTGCTGTCTAACAGGAAGTGAGATGGCTGTTTATCCTTTTGGGATAATGACTCGGCAGCATTAGCTCTATAGATTTTAATTGTAGTTATTTTAACAACTTTTCACTTAGATTGACCGACTTTTCTACTTTCCCCCAAGAGCATTGCCTCTTATATGATACCCTTGGTGAGTTGCATGAGAAAATACGGATGTTAAATATGTATTTTAATGAAATTATCGATGCTAAATTAGCCGCGGCTAACCGTTGCTAACGCGTTAGCCTAGCGTGTATCCGTGTTGCTTTAATGTGTGCGGGGCGGAGGGATGTGAAGTCACTGCACCGCTCTATTGTCTGTGGTTTTGGCGGTGGTCTTCACGTTGCTTTGCCGCCAGTTGTGGCACATTGAAGGGACATTGACCACAGCTTAGTCTGTTAATTGTTGTGGAATATGAGCAAAGTTGAGCTAACTGTGGCTGGTTATAGGTTGGCCGAAAATGAGTTTAGTACACTTTGTTAAAATAATAACATGTGTGACAGATGTGTTAAATAAGCTGACTGATAATTGTTGTATTTAGAATTGTTTGTTTAATAGGATTTTAGGAACATGTACAGTGTATTTTGTTGATTTGATTAATATACAGAGAAGTGCTGTTTCAATTTGCATTTAAACCATTGTATAAGCATTCATTTGACTCTTGGCCTTGTTGTCAGGTCGGGTCTTTTTTTTGTGTGATGTGAAGGAGATTTTCTGGATTCTTTGACTGGAACGCTGCCCTCATCTCTGCTGGTGTACTGTGGCGAATTTCAGTCTGGCGAGCTACCCATCGACCTATCTAAAAGAAGAGAACTATTACAGTTACCCACCACGATAGTAGGACAAGAACTTGTGTATCTTTTCCTCTTCACAAGTTGAGAGCCAAGAACTGATTTGATTATTGATTGTGTGATACTATGTTGAATATGTTATAACTATATGTGTATAGAAGTAATGTGATAAGTTTTCTTTCATTTTATTTAAGAATCTGAAATAACATTTCAAATACAGAGTCCTGGTTCCCAAAATTAGAATATATAGCTTAGCTACTAAATTTAAATAAAACCATTAGTTTATATTAAATAGGGATAATTAAAACAGAAGTAACAACACTAAATGATACCAAAATAGTTATAAAATAAATAGGTACAAATAATTAAAACCAGGATACTCTCAAATTCAAGGTAACTGAATATATATATGTCTTTAAAATGTTTATCTGAAAGAAAGGGAATAAATATTATAGCTTTCTGTACCTTTTCCAAACAACGTCTGCTTTGTGTCTTTTCACCTTTGTTGCACAGTATCCATTTTCTCCTGAGCAACCTAGACTTCTGATGTGCTGGTCCACACACTGAAATTTCTACATTTATATTAGAGAGGTTTGATCGAAACTGATTCGTATAAATAATTCTGTGCTCAGCATTCATATTTGGTGCATGTGTTACAGAAAAGTGGCGAGCTAGCCAGGATATATTTGGTTTATTGAGTGGTATTGGTGAGGACACAAACATATAAAAACTACCATGGAGTTTATTAAGGCGGCTAATATCAACATTCAGAACTCTATTATCATTAATGGGTCCCCTAATGTACAATCTGACAAAGAATTAGATAAACACCTTAAACAATATGGCTCTATTGCTAAAATGGTTAGCATTGATGCTCCTAATACAAAGTTTCATGAACATGTAATAGTAGAATACACTGATGACACAGCGATGCAGATACTTAAACCCCTGTTGCCAAGCACATTCCAGCCTGATGTTGAGACTTTGTACCACCTAAGAGCACTAGCGGATGTGTATGCTCCTGAAATAAGCAGCACCACTACTGAAACCTACCTGGAGCAGTTGCAGGCAGTTGCACAAGTAACTGGCAAGACACTTGAGGAACTCCTTGTAAAAGAACTTGCTAAACTCAAGGCAGCCAGCGGTGATGCTCCCACACTACAGAGAACTGATGAAGCTCTTGAGACGGATTCCACACAAAATGTTATCAGGCAAGTACATTCCTCGCCCGACAGTCATGACCGTCGCTGTGAGCACAAGCTTACTGCAACGCCCTTGGCCTTTGATGGTGAGGCAGCACGTCCTGCTATTGGAGTAAAGAACCCTTCCAGCCTCAGGATTGATGATGTTAACCCACCTGAAATACAGAGAGTTGTGGTGGAGCACATTGTAAGGAATGCAGAAGCATCTTATCCTGCTCACACGTCTAACAGACTCAGATCCTTCTCTGGGAAGTGTCCTTATCCCAGCAGTGAAGTGGATTACGACACTTGGAGAGCGAACCTTGAGCTCATTCTTAAAGACCCGGCCATATCTGATCTACACAGAGCAAGAAAGATACTTGAAAGCCTTCTATCTCCTGCAGCTGATATAGTGAAGCAGCTAGGCCCTCACGCTTCTCCAGCTGACTACTTGCAGCTGTTGGATTCTGCTTTCGGCACTGTTGATGACGGCGAGGAGCTTTTTGCAAAGTTCATGAATATGCTACAGGATGCCGGGGAGAATCCCTCCCACTACCTGAATAGGCTGCAGGTGATTCTAAGCCAGGCTGTGAAAAGAGGGGGTGTAGCACCTGCAGAACAGAATGAACACTTACTGAGGCAATTTTGCAGAGGTTGCTGGGACAGTGCTATGCTAACTGCTCTTCAGTTGGATCAGAGAAGACATAACCCACCATCTTTTCCAGAAGTTCTGTTGCTCCTGCGTACAGAAGAAGAGAGGCAGGCTGCAAAAGCAGTTCGGATGAGACAACATCTTGGAGCCCCAAGGCAACGAGTTGCAGCACATCTTCAATGTGCCTGCGCCTGTGAAGGAGATAATAACATGCCATCGCAGCAGCAGAATTCCACAGTGGACACGCTGTGTGACACCCAGAACTTGAAAAAACAAGTGGCAGGCCTTCAAAGTCAAGTAGCAAGCCTTAAACCACAGAACCGCCACAACCCCAGATCCCAGAGTAGTCCCTCCCAGCTTGATTCTCTTGTCCAAGATTTAAAGAAACACGTAGCAGAGCTATAGAGTCAGATATCAGCCCTACAAGCACAGACCCCTCCTTTCCCTACTGTTGTTTGAGCAAATTCACATCAGAGGGCAAATAACTCTTCGACCGCTACAGCCAGAATACAGCACGGAAGGCCACGTCCCTGGTATTGCTTCCGCTGTGGTGAGGATGGGCACATTGCACCAAATTGCAGTGAGGCGCCTAATCAAGCATTAGTTTCCGCCAAGAAGAATCAGTTGCAGGAAAAACAAGTTCTATGGGAAACCCAAGGCAGCTCTTCCAACATCCAGTTAAACTAGAATCAGCTTCGGTCACGGGACTGATGGGAGCTGGAGAACATCGACAACGTCCCCAGGGCAAGCAAAGAGCTAGCCTGAGGCAATCCTCTACTTATAACTGGGGTTACCTACCAAAAAGGTTAGTGGGAACCAGATGTACTGCTCAAGTTCTTATTGCAGGAGAGGAGTGCAGCTCTTTGTTGGACACAGGATCACAGGTCACTACCGTCACCCAGTCCTTCTATGAACAGAAGTTGGCCTCAAAGACTATTCACCCCTTAGACGACCTACTGGAAATTGAAGGCGCTAATGGCCAGACAGTCCCGTATAAAGGTTACATAGAGCTCAGTATAACCTTTCCAAAGAGCTTCCTTGGTTCAGACATTGAAGTACCTACCTTAGCCCTTGTGGTTCCAGATTGCCGTGCCATGACCTCATCACCAGTGTTGATTGGCACCAACACATTGGACGTAATGTACGAACAATACATTGAGACAAACCCTGCTCACCACCAACCATCTCCTTATGGCTATCGAGCAGTGCTGAAAACACTTGAACTAAGACAGAAGCAAGTACAAGACGGCAACCTGGGATCAGTGAGACTGGAAGGGAAATCGCCAGAAGTCATCCCCGCAGGACAAAGAGTTGTACTGGAAGGAGTGGTAAATATCCACAGTGCGCACACAGAGAAGTGGGCCTTAATGGAGCCTCCATCCTCAAGCTTCCTTCCAGGGGGCATAATGGTTACTTGTGGTTTACTCACCCTGCCAACCAGGGCGCCTTATAGAGTACCAGTAGTGCTAACCAATGAGACACAGCATGACATTCAGCTGCCACCAAGAAGTGTCTTGGCTGAGCTCAACGGCATACAGCAAGTGCTCCCTGAAATAGGAAAAACAAAGACTGGAGATCCTACAGCTCATCAGCTTGACCCATCCAAAGCTTCTCCAAAGACATTCAACTTCGCAGACTCCCCAATTCCTGCAGAATGGAGGGAGAGAATAGAGCAGAAGTTACAAGCTATGCCAGATGTGTTCTCACAGCATGACTTGGACTTGGGAAGGACAGACAAAGTGAAACACCACATCAACCTTCATGATGAGACCCCTGTCAAGCAAAGAGCTCGTCCCATTCATCCCAATGACATACAAGCTGTCCGCAGACACCTCCAAGAGCTGCTGGACGCAGGA